ATCTTTTTTTGTTTGTATATATATATTTTAAAGTAACCAAATAAACAATTTACTGAAATATTAAATGTTCTACCAATCGATATTTTGTTGATAGCTAAGTTTGAAATTCTTTACTGGTCTTGCTTGTGCATCCTGACCATTGTTTTGCTTTTCCACGACAGGATTGGAGGATCTGGGATTGACGTGCATAGTAAATCAAGGGTACACACTGATGATTTCTTTCTGTATCTGCAATGTGTTGGTAATAGTAATGCATCTGTTCTCATATATATTTTCTTATTCTAATTTCCAGACTATTTCAAAGCCGGTCAAACACCCTTCTGAGCTTCCGAAGTGAAACTACGATGGATCGAGTACAGGACAGGCACCTGGAGAAGACAGTGAAGTTATCCTATAGTAAGATCAAGTACACATGACGTTCATCCACACTTATAAGTTACTTTTTCTTTTCGAGCCTAAATCTATTTGAATTTTCTCTTCAGCCCCCAAGCAATCTTCAAAGATCCATTCCGTGGTGGTAATAACATCTTGGTGAGTTTATCCACTTGGCCACTTATGTTTCATTTTGCTTGGCTACTATTGAATTTCACTGAAATGTTCTCTTACGTACTTGAGGCGCACTTCACGAATGCAATAAATATGCGACATGAACCAGGTCATATGTGATGCATATACACCAGCAGGTGAGCCAATTCCAACAAACAAGCACCACAGAGCTGCTCAGATTTTTAGTGACCCGAAGGTTGTTGCTGAAGTCCCATGGTAATCTTTCTTTCAATTTTTTCTGTCCAACGAAACTTTTTCCTCACAGTTTCAAAACAGACTCCAAAAGCTTAGAAAAGATGCTGATTACTTTTTTCTGACATTTTATTTTCAACTTAATATGGTATGGTATTGAGCAAGAGTACACCTTGCTCCAAACAAATGTGATATGGCCACTGGGTTGGCCTGTTGGAGGCTACCCTGGTCCACAGTTAATAATGTTTCTTCAGTTAGGCAAATGTTAGTATTCCATTTAGAATTTTGTTGCTTACATCTACATTTTTTTATTCTGTTTTTCGAAGGAAGACATTATGCTTATTGGTAAACGGAATGTTGCTTAAATCTACTAAATGGAAAAATTTTGCCCCTATTTGGGCTCCATTTTATCCAAAATGCATTTTTCTCTCTCCCCTTTTTAATCTGACATTCTTCAATAAAATAATATTACACGTAAATTCTAAACTTTTCTTTCTTTTTTAACTATACATTCTTCAAAAAATCACTATTCCAAAGTACATTTTTCCCAAACACACATTTTAATGGAGTCAAACATGGGCTTTATAAGTTCTAATGACATATAAGAAAAATTATTTGACTATTTCACTGTTTGGGGAATTTTTAGGGCTGTTACTACTGTGCTGCTGGGGCGGATAAGTCATTTGGTCGTGACATATCTGATGCTCACTACAAGGCTTGTCCTCTAATAAACCATCGACGACCTGTTTGATGCTTTCTGCAGTGGGTATTTCAAGTTGGTCCCAGTGTTGGAATTGAAGCTGGAGATCACATCTGGTGTGCTAGGTACCTACTCGAGGCATGTTTTTGTTAGTTTATAAAGTACTTGTTAAAGATCTTGTTTCTACGAGAAGAAACAAGATCCAGTATGCGGCATCTCTGATCCACAATTTTATTAGAATAACTTGAAGTACCTAGAGGCTCCTATCAACTTATATATCGACCTAAATGAAATGTGTTCATTCTTATCATGAAACTACAAGGGCATGTACAATATGCAGGACTAGATAGGACTCGACGATATAACTATTTTTTCTCCCTTAATATTGTCTTCTACCGTTCATTCGACATTACCAAACATGCCATAAGTGCATGATAGAGTAGTAGTATTTCTTGGTTTCCTTGATTGAAGTAACATGTCACCTGAGTCAAAACAGAAGATCTACATGAGTACGTTTCTGATGTTTTTGCTATTAAATATCTTTATAGAGAATTACTGAACAAGCTGGAGCTGTTCTCTCACTTGATCCAAAACCAGTAGAGGTACTATTGTCTTCATTTCAATAAATTTATTTTTCTTGATTTGTAAAATATTGAAAGTCTAATCTACATGTATACCGGAAATTCCAGGGTGACTGGAATGTGGCTGGATGCCACACCAATTACAGGTATTCAGTTCTTTTGTTGATATTAGGTCAAGTATATGTCTAATATGTTACAATATCAAGTTCATGACAACTTCAAGATGTGCTTGCAATTTTCACTAAGATGCAATAATTAATGTATAATTATTTGAATTCGCAGCACAAAGAGTATGAGAAAAAATGGAGGATTTGAAGTGATAAAGAAAGTAATTTTGAATCTTTCTCTTCGCCACAAAAGCATATTAGTGCTTATGGAGAAGGAAATGAGAGACGGTTGACAGGAAAGCATGAAACTGCCAGTATTGACACATTTTCATGGGTATGCTCAATAGTTCTAAACTGAGCACCTTTAGAATGATAACTTGTTTTCCAACTTCCTACTTATATTTTTTTGCCATAAATTGCAGGGAGTTGCCAATCGTGGTTGCTCAATCCGTGTGGGGCGTGATACTGAGAAGGAGGGCAAAGGTACATGATTAAAATCTTCCTTAATTGTTCTTTCCACGCCTCCCAGTTATCTGGTGCCAAATTGTCGCCCATTTCCTTCTTTCTTTAAAAATAGAGTTGTCTCTGCCTTTTTTTGTAGGATTTGGCTTGACAACTCTGACAATATCAAAGAAGAAAAAAACTATTGCCTATCATCTTGCCCTTTCTATTATTCATATGAAACACGTGCTTAGTGTACAAATGTGTTCATCAAGCTTCTAAATGCAAGCTACTAGAATTAAAGACCACACAAAACTCCGTGATACATTAATTTTGGGAGAATCAATAGTTTGACAGAGAAGATTAGATTTATTTACAAGCCAAATTAAGAAAATTAAATCTTCACTGTTAATAGATCCATCATGCGACTAATAAGATGTTCCTCAAACCCATTAATTGTGAATGACTAATAAGATGTTCCTCAAACCCATTAATTGTGAATGGTAATAATGACCGAATTGCTGAACCATCTCATCTAAAGCTTAAGCTCCTACAGAGGGGATTTATTTTTTTCATCGAACTCCTAATACATGCATAATTTTCATAAAAGGGCGATAATGAGACTCAAACCTGGTAGAATCACCTTGGCTAAAAGTTTAAATTGTTAAAGAGATGATAAATTTATTTATTTAAATAGTTTCTTCATGATTTATTTTTGAAACTATCCTTGCTTATCATGGTGATTATGTTTCATGCTAGGTTACTTGGAAGATAGGCATTCAGCTTCAAACATGGATCCCTACGTCGTGACCATTACTTGCAAACTACTCTATTGTGGGAACCAACAGTCGAAGCTGAAGCCCTTGCCGCACAGAAGCTGTCGTTGAAGGTGTAGGTCATTGATGTTAATGTACCTGTGCTTGAAGGGAATTACACGGCACCTTTTTCACAGGCACAGAAGCTCGTTCCCTTTTTATCGACCCCTTTCGAGAAATCTTTGTAAATAAGGGACCTAAAATTAGCAATGTCCACTTGAGCTTGAAAGATGGTCCCTTGAACTGGAGATTAGTAGGGATTTTTAGCATTCACGAAAATCTTGGACAAGTTTTAAGCTATTTTACTTTGCCATTTGCAATTGCGTTGCTGTTTTTATTTATCTATTGTTGCAAGTTTAACAAGGTAATGCAGTTCTGTATTATCATTCAATAAATCATTCTTAAATCAAGAATGCCTTAAATTTTAGATGTGTGCTCTTTAACATCTCAAGTTCAGATCAAGTTGTTCGATGTGGAATTACAGCATGTAAAGATCTTGTGCTAAAGTCGTGCCTTTCTAAAAATTGTACATTTATTGTACTTTCAAGGAAAAATGAAGTTGACATACATGCGAGGTGTATTGAAGATTAAATATAAATAGATAATCTCTTTTTATATAACAACTTTAAAGCTTTAGATAGCTTCATGGTGGCAAAATTACCTGTCCTGCCTTCTGGGGTTGGGTAGGAATCATGACAGTGAACATGGTTTCTGCCTTGACTATTTTTATTTTATTTTATTGAATTTATTCTATATTTTACAATTTAGACCGTGTTCAAAAAATATAAAAATAAATAAATAAATAAATAAACAAGACGGTAAATGAGGATAATTTAATCACCACCCTACCTAGGCTCCAGTAGGGCATGGATGAGAGGGTTGTCCTAGCACCATCGTGCCCGCCCTGCCATGGGATAGTTCAATATAATATTAAAGCAAGCAAAACACTTGAATTCAAGTCTTGTCGTCAATCATATATAAATTTTACACGTGTTGAGCATTACATAAAATAAAAAATAAAAAATAAAAAATTTGATTTCAAGTAAGGGAAAGTGTTGTGTCGAAGTCAATTTAAATAAATATGTTCTTTCTAATAACTTAAACTTTTAGATAAAGTGTGATTTAAAAAGATGGACAAGCTAAATTTTATTCTTAGTGTACAAATAAATAAAAAGGCAATTTACTACAACATCAATAAATTGTTTTTATTCGAAAGACAGGAAATATTCTTTTCCCCTTCATGAGTCTAAACTCTGAACAAAACCAAGGAATTCTAGCCATTTACTGAAGATACTCTAATTTTTAAGAATTAAGCTAGATGTATATCTTTGGTTGACACCAACGATGACATCCTCCCTAAGTGGAAGGAATCTGAGCAGTGATGTGATGGATGTGTTTAAAATTAATAGTGTAGAATGCTGCCAGAAGGAAGAGTTCATGTACGATTCAATTTTTAAATGAAAAGCAACATATTAGAATAGATAATTCTTCAAGAAAACTAAATTTTCTTGGTAAAGAGTGGAACCATTTTTGATTCTATGTGTATATATATATTTCTTGAATTGAAAAAGGGCATAAATAAAATCAAGTTTTTCTACAAAGCTAGAATAGGCAGGCCATGGCTTCTGGAGCAGAGAAACCAGCAGCATTTGCTCTGTTAGTATTCAATTTCTTTCTCTATTTCATTATCGTTGCAGCATGGGCAGTAAATCACGGAATCGAGAAATCGCACAAAACAGGTACAATTTTTAAGCCTTGATCTCAATTCAAGAAAAATAAGCAAGAAACAAAAACACAACTGCACATACAGAACACGTATTTATAGTAGTTCGCTTCAGTATAAGAAATATGTCCACTTGTTGCTGCGAAATTTTCGCTATCGTGTCTAATCTACCCACAAAACAGCCCCAATAGACACCTTCTTATAGTTATGGAAGCTAAGACGACCTTAATATGAAGATATGAATGCTCAATATAACTCTTAAAACTAGGTCGATACGTAGGATAAATGAACAGTATAATTAGGCTTTACACATCCCAATACTTTGTAGTTTTTATCAATTAAACTAGTCGAGAATGCTGTTCAACTTCACAATCAAGATTTCGAGTTTTCTTACATCATTAATTTGCCAAAAATTTCTTGCAGCATCTGTTCAGCTCGAATTTTTCCAATATACTATCGATTTGGAAATATGGCTACTGGTTATGTTGTAATTATGTCACTCTTATCTGGGGTTGTGGGCTTCACCACCTCAGTTTCTGGAATGGATAATTTGATTCAATGTGATGGCCCAAACCTACATGCAGCTGCTGCATCTTCTTTGGTTACTTGGTTACTAACACTACATGCAATGGGGTAAATTATATATTATTATCAGTTCTTTTGATATTTCAGGTTTTAAGCTTTACGGTATATTTGGTAGATTGGACTGAATAGGACGGGATATGATTAAGAAAGGAAGAAAGACGCGCGACTCAATTTGTCAGATTGTCCTGTTAAGTCTTGTTTGTACCAAATATACTGTTACAAATCTTCACTCTGAACAAGTAAATGCAGTTACATAACGATTGTGTGGTATATTCTGCAGGTTTGCCTGCCAAGAGATTGATATAAGGTGGACTGATTCAAACTTGGTCAGTGTGTTCAATCACATTGTTAATAAACTTGAACTACTGGAGATGGAATACTTTTTATATAAAGATTTTGTGTTGAGTACACCATGTGACGACTAGTCAAACCTACTCGATGTTGTTAGGTTTATACCCAGTGATGACTCTCCCCCTGTTTTACTTGCACACAAAAATAAAACAGGAGAGATCTCATAAGGCGAAAGCCTAACGAGTATGTTTCATGGCCACTTTCATTATTTCAATCAAAGGCTACACATGCAAAATTTTCATAAATGAGTAATGTTGAGATTTTGTTTAGAACTTATATTTGTCATCTTCAATTACATCGTCTAAAAATTTAAGATCTTATTAACTACGTAAAAAGAAAATATTAACAACAATTGACACGGGACGAAAACGTTAACAATAATAAAAGGTTCTTGTTCGTAACATACGAACGAGTGTTTGCTCGAATTTTGCTTGAACAAATGTGATAACTATTTGGAATCAACCAAATAAATATTGGAATTCACCAATTAATTGAAAATTTGAAATATCTTATTAATGAAAGAAAAACAAATGTCTAATTTACAAACTCCTAAACACATAGTTAAAGACTCAAAATAAATCATAATCAAATTGAAAATCTAAAGAAACTGAAAAACAAATCTGAATAAAACTAAAATACAGCAAAATTGATGAGAAGACCCTTAAATTGATTCAAAATAGGAAAACGCTAAAACAATCCCTAATCTATGGAATTTGACCCTAAAAGTTTGACAACAGAGTTGAAAGTCCTAAACCAATTAGAAGAGAAATAACTTGTCAATGATGCAGATTAATTAGAAGAGAAAATTCTAAACTAATTAGAAAAACGAAGGAATAAGAAGGATTTACAAAAACATGCATAACTTTCAGTTCGGTTGTCAAATTTTCATTCGTGAGTACAGTCCGGAAGCGGTTTTCAATTTTGCACATCTTTGCTTGACTTTCAGGGTCCAATTTTATAGTTTAGAAGTTCGTTTTAACATTTCCCAGTTTTAAGTCAATTTAAGTGTATTTTCATCATTTTTGTAGTATTTTAGTTTTATTCAGATTTATTTTACAGTTTCCTAGTTTATTTGGGTTTATCTATAGAATTAGATTTTCAATTTAATTAGAATTTATTTTGAGTCTTTAAATATGTGTTTAGGAGTTTGTAAATTAGACGTTCATTTTTATTGATTAAGAAGATATTTCAGTTTTTCCATTAATTAGTGAATTCCAATATTTATGTAGTAGATTTCAAATAGTTATCACACGTTCGAGTGAAATTCGAGCAAACTCCCGTTCGTGTGTTACAAACAAGTAGCTTTTATTATTGTTCAAGTTCCGTCCTGCGTCAAGTGGTATCAGAACTCAATTGATGTGAATTTTCTTTTCTAATGGATCTGCATCAACAATTCTCTAGTTAATTCTTAAAATGTTGCTTTACAGAGGATTTTGGAGACCGTATTGATAATTGTGAGCGGGAGTCAGTTATTATGCACTGCTGCGATCCACATTGTTCTTGAATCTTAATAATGCTGTTGCAATAGAGAGGTGATTCTATTAATTTTATCAAACATTTAAGATTATTTTGTAAAGGGGTGTTGCACTGGTTTGTTCATATTAGTTTAGTGAACGTATGATGTTTTAAGGTTGTGTTAATATGCAAATGGCATTTCACCATTACATACAATATGTCATAACGAGCTTCCCAAAGGAAGATCAGTCAAATCTATACCAATAAAGCTGGTTTAATCCTAGGGCAAGTAGCACGGTTCAATCTATACACCCATGCACGAGATATAACAGAATTCAACTATTGCTTTAATTGCACGAAAAAAAAAAAAATTACACCATATTGAGAAAGTAGAATAATCCTTATGAAAGTATGATTTATCCCTTAGGATAAGAATTATGCTATAGGGCCCGGCTCAATGACCGGGACCAAATACCTCGGCGCCTCACATTGGAGGAGTCAGCCCCCCTCCAATAACAGGGCGCCATGTCAAATGTCCCAGTTATTTGGCCGGGACATTTGGCATAATTCAAAATCACTTGTACATTCTCTTGTGTACATTGTGGTTTACATTCCATTGAGTTTCAAATTGAAATGGGGGAATGTGTTTTATTTGAAAACTGTTCAATGATGTCAAGACACGTGGCACAATGTCAAATTTGTTGTCAATGAAAATGTACATGTAGCATGATTATATCCCTTAACATATATTTGCAAGATGGTTGCTCGTTTGATCATATCAATCTTGAAATCCGTGTGTTTGTTTGAATCTTAATTTGATTGAATTATTCGTTTGATTCTTAATTGAATCGAATTATTCCTTTAAACTTAATAAATACTTCTATCTTAAAATGTCAATCTTATTAAAAGAAGTAGCTCAAACTTCTTTGAACCGAGCTGCAGTGCCAGGGAGGGTGTCACCCTTCCTGATAGAATACACACATCGGGGGGGAGGGAAGCATTTTTTTTCATTTTTTATTTCATGCGGATCCCACGTCGGTCCACACTCATGTGAGGTTAGGTCAACCAGGTGGGCAAATCAATTCGGGCAAACTAGTTTAATTCAACTTCCTTATATATTATATTATAATTTCGATATTTATTGTTTATCCCTTAACAGAAACATAGCAAAAGGTCAGTGTCGTCGTCGCATGGAAGAAAGATATACAAGACAGCTTGAATGAAAATTTTCTTTTACTCTTATGTTTTGCAAACATTAATGAAGAAACTTTATGGAAAGTGCAAATTCTTATCTTCCCTACTAGAAGAGAAGCTTTATACGAGTCATTGAAGACTTTATAACTATATATTTGCAATATATAGTAATTCCAATTATCTGCATGATAAAAATATTCTTTCAGTGGGGAGTTTNTTGGAATTCACCAATTAATTGAAAAATTGAAATATCTTATTAATGAAAGAAAAACAAATGTCTAATTTACAAACTCCAAAACAAATATTTAAAGACTCAAAATAAATCATAATCAAATTGAAAATCTAAAGAAACTGTAAAACAAATCTGAATAAAATTAAAATACTGCAAAAGTGACGAAAATACCCTTAAATTGACTCAAAACAGGACAATGCTAAAATAATCCCTAATCTATGGAATTTGACCCCGAAAGTTTGACAACAAAGCTAAAAGTCCTAAACCAATAGAGAAATGACTCATTAATGATGCAGATTAATTAGAAGAGGAAATTCTAAACTAATTAGAAAAACGAAGGAATGAGAATGATCGACAAAAACATGCATAACTTTCAGCTCGGTTGCTGAATTTTCATTTGTAAGTACAATCCAAAAGTGTTTTTCAATTTTGCACATTTTTGCTAGACTTTCAGGGTCCAATTTCATAGTTTAGAAGTTCGTTTTAACATTTTCAATTTTGAGTCGATTTAAGTGTATTTTCATCATTTTTGTAGTATTTAGTTTTATTTAGATTTGTATTACAGTTTCCTAGTTTATTTGGATTTATCTATAGAATTAGATTTTCAATTTAATTGGAATTTACTCGACTTTCAGAGCTCAATTGATGTGAATTTTCTCTTCTAATTGATCCACATCAACAATTCTCTAGTTAATTCTTAAAATGTTGTTCTACAGAGGATTTTCGAGACCATATAGATAATTGTGAGTGGGAGTCAGTTATTACGCCCTGTTGCGATCCATATTGTTCTTGAATCTTAATAATGCAGTTGCAATAGAGAGGTGATTCTATTAATTTTATCAAACATTTAAGATTATTTTATTAAAGAATGTGTGGTTGAAAAGAGGAGAGATCCTCTGCAATGTACATTGTGGTTTATATTCCATTGAGTTTCAAATTGAAATGGGGGAATGTGTTTTATTTGAAAACTGTTCAATGATGTCAAGACACGGGGCACAATGTCAAATTTGTTGTCAATGAAAATGTACATGTAGCATGATTATATCCCTTAACATATATTTGCAAGATGGTTGCTCGTTTGATCATATCAATCTTGGAATCCGTGTGTTCGTTTGAATCTTAATTTGATTGAATTATTCGTTTGATTCTTAATTGAATCGAATTATTCCTTTAAACTTAATAAATACTTCTATCTTAAAAGGTCAATCTTATTAAAAGAAGTAGCTCAAACTTCCTTGAACCGAGCTGCAGTACCAGGGAGGGTGTCACCCTCCCTGATAGAATACACACATCGGGGGGGAGGGAAGCATTTTTTTTCATTTTTTATTTCATGCGGATCCCACGTCGGTCCACACTCATGTGAGGTTAGGTCAATCAGGTGGTCAAATCAATTCGGGCAATCTAGTTTAATTCAACTTCCTTATATATTATATTATAATTTCGATATTTATTGTTTATCCCTTAACAGAAACATAGCAAAAGGTCAGTGTCGTCGTCGCATGGAAGAAAGATATACAAGACAATTTGAATGAAAATTTTCTTTTACTCTTATGTTTTGCAAACATTAATGAAGAAACTATCTGAAGAGTGCAAATTCTTATCTTCCCTACTAGAAGAGAAGCTTTATACGAGTCATTGAAGACTTTATAACTATATATTTGCAATATATAGTAATTCCAATTATCTGCATGATAAAAATATTCTTTCAGTGGGGAGTTTCAGAAGCCTGAAATTTATGAGAAACATATCTGAGTTTATACCTTTGTACTTTATCGGTTTAAGAAAAACGACTCAGTTACATGTCTTCAAACTTTTATATTCCAGTTTTTGTTATAAAACCTCGAAGGTTTCTCCAACTCCAAGTCGAGTTTCATCATTACTTTGAAAGAACGAGTTCCCCAAGGATGATCGGTCCTTGAATCACAAGATATAATAGAATTCGACATTGTTATTTATTTAACAGAATAAAAATAACACAATAACCGCAAATGTATCGAGAATAATTTTTTTATAAAATAACTTATAGTTTTACACAAAATTATTGACAGGTGTAGAACCACTCAGAGAGAAATTAGGCAACGATTTAATTCTTTCAATAATCGCCCAACTTATACCATGGTCACGGTTTACTCACTAAACTTCAGAGTGCTTTACAGTGTTCACTGAACTTTGCTCGTTTGCGCTCCATCCATC